GACTAAACGAAATAAATGATCTGTATAACTTTATTTTCCCTTCATAATAACCATTTGGGTTTGGTACTGTTATCCTCACTTTGCATTGAAGGAAATTCTGGGTCATCAGTATTGAAAGTTTGGCCAAGATCTCTTAGCTAGTTAACATAGGAGCCAGTAGTCAGTTTCATATTTGTATGGCTTCAGAGAGAGCCTGGTTTTAGTTAGCTGCCATCTCCCTAGTCTTCAGAGTCTTAACATTGAGCTTCACCATCTTATTTCCTTGAACAGACCTGAAAGAAGCACAGTAGGGTGTTATGTTCTTTTTTTCCCCTTACACATCCATGTAATAAAAGATACTGTGAGAGTCTGAAGAAATCATGGAAAGGAAAGCAGAATATATCAAAAACTATTATTATATATGGATGCTGGATACAAAAGTTATTTTTATATGTTCCTACATTTTATACAGTTAGAGCAATCTAGCTATATTGATTGTATCATCATTTGTTTTTAAAAAGCAATATAAGGTTAAGGACTAGTTATACTTATCTAACTACCACTGTTCTTGTGTCCATTCCAGAACCCACACTTCTTGGTTCTAGAAGTTTGATGTGGAAAGCCCAAGCCAACAGAATGCACCCAAAATGCCAGCCCAGAGAGGCAGCATACCACTTACAGGTGGCTTAGCAATTACCCTGTATCTGTATTGCCTAGGGACAATCTAGCACCACTACTTTCTCATTTCCCATTGCCAACTTGCATGTTTACCTTTATAGTTATCATCTACTTATTACTGATGTTGGCTCAAACTTTATAGCTTTTGGTTTTGGTTGCAAACATTTTCATACATTGACATGGCTTCTGGCTTTACATTATCAATCTATAGTCACTTGTCTTTGAAATCTAGCCAAAAACTCACTTCTTTCCAAAGGATTTTCCCAGTTACCCACTCCCTTCTGAATACTTTATTCTGTGTGCCCTATGATTTAAGAAATAATCCTTAATCTATGCTGTCACTTCTTGGCAGGCTTTTGCCTACTGGTATCATTGTTCTTGTGTTCCTTTAAGGGTTTGTGTTGACTTTTGTCACTATTATCTGGATACTATTAGGACAAATAGCTCAGTCATTGCAGAAATTATCTATCATCTAACTATCTATATGTCTATCATCTATCTCCATCTTCTTTGGAAGGAGCAAGTATAACATTTTATCTTCTTGTCCCTAAAATGTGTGAAATTAAACTGCATGTCTCGCTAAACTCACACTATACACAGATTCCTTCTGCAATGTTGTCTAAATTTCTTTTCTTTGTCACCTTTTGATCTGTGAAGGATGGTTAGTCTTGCTTTCTTAAATCCCAATTCACTATAGAAAGTATTGCCTCACTATGCTGTCAAACACCTCAATGTCTCAATGCCATTATAAATATTTCATAACTTCCTATGGGTACACACACTCTTACTCCTTGTCTTATTTTAGTAACCTCCAAAAGGTCTGTGTGATTCTCTTTAGGGCAATTTTTCTCCCATTTTCAATTTTCTTTCCTACTCTCTACCTACATATTATGAGATCCCCCCCCCCCCGGGAAAATTGCCTCTGTGTAGATCTTGCTATCTTGGGTAAAATGGTCAAAAAGTACAAACTGCAATCTGGTCCTTTCTAAGGGGAGATCTAATTACCCAGCTGGTGCTGGAGAATACAAACATTTTCACTCTGGACAATGTTTATCTGTTTTTTTGCAAGTACATCACTTTGGAAAGCAACTTGCTCAGCTAATCTGTAACTGTCATGGAAATGTGATTTTTTTCCCTCCTCCAAACCAATAACGGGCACCTGGTAAGACTGCCTTATGCACCCAAGCGTTCAAGTCTAACTGTTTCCATGGAAACATATAAAACTGTGTCTGCAAGTTTCCCTGCATCCTGCCTTATGTCCCTTTTCTGTACTCTGCTCTATCTTTCCTTCCTTCACTGTCCTTGCATGAGATTACATTGCTTTGCAACAACTCCGTAATAGACTTCTTTTCCATTCTTACCATTGTCAATGATTTCATTCTTGCCATGTAGGATGGCAGAGAGTGAGTCTATTTCAGCTGTGTAGCTTCCTCCGTACTTAGTCCAGTGCCTTAGACTTAATGGGCACTCAAAGCCTATTTGTTGAATTGCTTTGGATTAAGGGCTTATTGCCTTAGTCAGTTTTACTTTTGTGATATCTAAAACATGCTCATTAAGAGCTTCCTCAGCAGAATAATTGTAAAGATAAAAAGAGCCTGCTGAATACAGAGTTTAAACTCTGAATACAGAGTTTAAACCACCAATTTATATATTTACAAACTAAACATGAATTTTCAGCTCTCTCTCAAATCTTGAAAATGTTTAAGTTTATAAACTTTAGAAATAAAGGAAAGCAAATTAATAGTTATTCAGCAACTACCAACTATCAAGCATTTTCATGTTTTCCCCCTCAGAATTAGGTATTATCATCCGTTGGATCTGAGTATTAAAACCTTAGGATGTGAGGCACCTGGGTGGCTCAGTTGGTTAATCGTCTGACACTTGATTTCTGCTCATGTCATAATCTCATGGTTTGTGAGTTCGAGCCCCACCCAGGGCTCTGTGCTGGCAGTACAGAGCCTGCTTGGCATTCTTTCTCTCTCTCCTCTCTCTCTACCCCTCCCTCCCTTGTGCTCTCTCTCCCTTTCACAATAAATAAACTTAAAAACTAAAAACAAAACCCAAACCTTAGGATGTTCCACACATGCAATTTTGTGTTATATTTTACTTACTTAACCTTAGGATCTCCTTAAATATCCATGCTGCACAGAATTTGAGATTATGCATTTGTAAATAATTAGGGTTAAGAATATTAGGGAAAAAGAAGGGTGTATAAAACTTAGGAGCTCATTGTATGAAAAGATGAAACAGTCTGAAGAATATTCTGAGAAAAAGAATTACTGATAGCAGACGATGAAAGTGAAAACTGAGACATTCAAGAGATCTTGCCTTAAATTGGAGGGAAACCAACATATAAGAACAATAATTACTACTCTGAAGTGTGAAACAATACACAAGAATGTACATAACATTGATAAAAGATGATCAGAATCAAAGCATTCTAAAGCACTGGTATTGGAGTGCCCGGGTGGCTCAGTTGGTTAAGCGTCCGACTATGACTTAGGTCATGATCTTGCGGTTTGTGAGTTTGAGCCCCAAGTCAGGCTCTGTGCTGGCAGCTCAAGCTTGGAGCCTAGAGCCTGCTTTGGATTCTGTGTCTCCCTCTCTGCCCCTCCCATGCTCACACTCTGTCTCTCTCTCTTTCTCAAAAGTTAATAAATATTTAAAACTTAAAAAAAAATTAAAGCACTGGTATTTATGACAGAAGGCACAAAGTAACTATATTGATATTGAAAAAGGGAATATGTTTGAGATGTTACAAGCCCACTAAGTTAGGGGAGACCATGCTGGGAGTCCCTCCTACACTTTGTAGTAACAAGTGTGGTGTCAAAGAAGACCTAGTGGAGATAAGTATTTATGTTCTGCTCAGGGGCAAGGAGACCACCTGCCCTAAGAAGCGTCAGCAGATACCACACAGAGAGGCTATACTCTCATCCCCTCAGTGGTAATGAGGTGTCCTTCTCCTTCTCTGAAGGAGGTCAGTGGAGAGTCAAGACTTTCATCATTGCTCAACAGTAACAAGGACACCCTCATGGTGTTAGTAGAGGTCAAGTGGGGAAGAGGAGTGAGCTATCACTTCCTAGGCAGACTGGCATTAGGGGAAGCCTCACTGGAGTATGGACTCCCAATCTCGCCATCCCTGCTCCAACAGTAACAAGGTGTCTCTCCACCTTAGATGTCAACAGAGGTTTGGGAGAGAAACTAGGCTTCACCCCTATCTAACATGAGGTAATGAGGTGATGCCTCCCTTCAACCACAGAGTCACTGTTAGAGGAAGCATACTAAAATAGAATATTTCAATAAAATCCAGAGTCTGGTAACATAGTACCAGGTATCCAGGTAACAACTGAAAATCACTTGTTACACCAAGAACAAAGATGATCTCAATCTGAGTAAAAAAAAAAAAAAAAAAAAAAAAGATAGTTAATGGATACCGATGCTGAGATGACAGGGTTGTTAGAATTACCTAAAGAGACTTTTGAAACAGCCATCATTTGTTATTTTTAATGTTTTTTTACTTGAGAGAGAGACAGAGACAGAGACAGAGAGAGAGACAGAGAGAGCAGGTGAGGGGAAGAGAGAGAGGGAGAGACAGAACCTGAAGTAGGCTTCAGCACAGAGCCTGACCTGGGGCTCAGACTCCTCCTGAATGGCGAGATTACAACCTGAGCTGAAGCCCAATGCTAATGAGCTGAGCCACCGAGGCTCCTCCAAACACCCATCATTTAAAAAAGTCCCAGCAAGCAGTTATAAACATGTTGAAAATAAAATGTTTAAAACTCTCCGCAGAGAAATAGAAGATATAAAGGAAGACTAAGGGGCACTTTCATAAGTAAAAATGTCTGAAATTCAAAACTCACCATACCAAATGTTGGCAAGAAAGCACTCACACACTGCTTATGGGAATACAAAATGGCACAGCCACTTTAGACAAGTGAAATAAAACATGCACCCAAAGAGGTGAACATGAATGTTCCTAGCAGCTTTATTTGGACTGGAAACAATACAAATGTTCATCAACACCACATGGGTGCATAAACTGTGTTGTGTCTGTACAGTGGAATACTACTCAGCCATAAAAAATAACCTGTTGATAGACGCTGCAACATGGATGAATGTTATGATAATGATGTGGAGTGAATGAAGCCTGACAACAATACCACACAGTTCCCAATTGTATAATACCTAGAAAATGCAACTTGATATACAAGGACAGAAAGCAGATCAGTGCCAGCGGGGAGGGGGGGGGGATGGGCAGGTATGGGAGGAAGGGATGAAAAGGTGGCACAAGGGGAAGCTTGGGGCGCATGCGTTAGTTCTCCACGGACCGTTTGTGCTGCGCGCCTAGGAAGCGTGGGGTGGTGGTTTGCCCGACGGACCGAGTCCGGTACCGGCGGGCGCCTGCGGAAGTTCACGCACCACTGCGAGAGGCACCTTGGATCCTCCCTCCCGTGTCGCCGACCTCCTCTTCCCTAGTCGTTCCTGGAGCAGGATCAGACCAGAGCTGACACCAGCCCCCGCGTGGCCTCCTCAGCACCTGTGTGACTTCCTTGTCCCCGGGATGTGGCGACAACGCCTGACTGCTGTGGCCGGTGAGGTTGACAATCCTTGGTGAAACAGAGCTCGGGAATAAAAGAAAGGTTGCCGCTACAGAAACTGCACCTGGTTTCACGAAGTATTTATTTTCTCATCATCCTAGTTTAAACCTTCAAGACCCCAGTTAAGGATATGTCACGGTGTTAATGGTGACAGATGGCAGCTACTCTTGTGAGCGTAGCATAGTAGAGAGATGTCGAATCGTTATGTTGTACACCTGAAACTAATGTAACACTGTGTCGACTCTACTGAAAGAGACGTTTTATAAAGATATCATTTTGGCAGTTCTAATTAATCTCCTTTTGTGTAAATTAAAACTTCCTTCAATTAAATATGACTACCAATCCTGAAGGAATTTTTGACCAGCGAGATTAGCTCCAAGACTCTTAAAACTTCCATGCCTCAAACTAGGATCTGCTGTTGCTTGTAAGACGGCACAGCCCAAAGGACTTTTGATCAGGGGAAATAATACATTTGACCTTAGTGCCCATAAATGGATTGTGCTTGACATTAGGTGGGAGATGAATGAGTATATCTAATTTAGAGAAAATTAGAAAAGCCCACTAAATAGAGCGCCTTGCAAAGTTGGCACCCAGTTTTGACAAGATGGTTGAAAGCCTCAGCTTACCGAAGGTTCATTGGAAAAAATGGCCTTTAGCACAGCAGACCACAGTTCTGAAAGTGACAGCATTACAGAAAGGGTCTCCTTGGTGAGCTCATTCTCTTACAAGAGCACACGGAGGAAGTGTGCAGAGCAGCTGGTCAGTGTCACATGAGCCATGCACGACTGAAACATAAGGTCTCAGAGAAAATTGACCAAATTCAAAAGAAACGTCTGCATACTCAAAGTACTAGGGGTTATTGGGATGGTTAGAAAAGGAGAACCAAGAAATAAGAAAATTAGTAGTATGGAAAGATGACAAAGAAAGCCACCATAGGAAGGTTAGGAAGCCTTTGATTGACGTGTATTTTGAAGTTCTTGATGTCCTGTCTGGTTATGATGGCTCTTATAATGCACAAGGTCATCTGCCAGGGAATGCTGTGGTTAACTGGGGAGGCTAAAGCCAGAGGGCTCCTCTGGCCCAGGATCTCTGGGCTGTAATGTGTTATGTCTGTCAGATGTCTGCACTAAATGTGGCATCAGTGCAGTGACCTCCAGGAATTGGGGGACACCAGATTGCCTCAGAAAGAGTAAATAGGCTCAGGTCAGAAAGGGGGCAGATTGTGGGGCACCTGGGTGGCTCCATTGGCTAAGTGTCTGACTTTGGCTCAGATCATGATCTCAGTGCTTGTAAGTTAGAGATCATGATCTCAATGCTTATAAGTTTGAGCCCCGCGTCAGGCTCTGTGCTGACAGCTCAGAGCCTGGAGCCTGCTTCAGATTCTCTCTGTCTCTGTCTCTCTCTCTCTGCTTCTCCCCTGCTCATGCTCTCTCTCTCTCAAAAGTAAACATAGAAAGAAAGAAGAAGAAAAGGAAGAAAGAGCAGATCAGAACTCCCCTGCTGATCAGTAGCAGGATTGTACCTGTGAGTCACCACTATACTTCAGTCTGAATTAAAAAAGGTCATCAGGAAACTTTTGGTGGTGATGGATATGTCTTCATTTTGGTGAGGGTCTCATGGGTGTTTACATATTTTAAAACATTAAGTTGTAAACTTTAAATATGTGCGGCTTATTATATATCAGTTGCACCTTAACAAAGCTGTTAATTTTTTTTTTACTTATATGGCTATTAAAAGACCTAATTTTCAATTTAAAAAGGTGATTTTTGATGGCATCAATTTCTATTCTGTCATATAGCCATATTAAAAGATGTCTTAAAGGACCTTAATTTGAAAAGATTCCATTGTTTAGAAACTCCTAACCGATCAAGGAAAGCTTGATTTTTTTTTTCATTTCTATTCTAAGACTCCACTTAAATGTAACACTTTGTCAAAATCAAAGTTCCTAAAGAGGCCAATGTAAATGAATACCGTCTTGATGTTGAACTTTCGTTTTTATTTGAATTGGCAACTGTTGTGGCCATAATGAAAAAACAAGAAGAAAAGGCTTGAGTTTGGGGAGAACATAAAGGGAGCTGATCTTTAAAATTGGAGAAATCCATATCAGAGTCAAACAAACAGATTCTGCTTACAAATGTAAGGACAAAATGCTAATGACTTCTCACCCCCAAATTTCCAAATGTCCAACGTATCAGAATTAACTCCTGTTGTCTGCCACCTGATAGAAATCTCCAAGTGATCACACCATGGTATCAAAGGCCAGATTACTTTAGCCATCACTGGGAACAAGTGACCAGCTGAGCACAAATCAGAATTATTACCAGAATCAAACTTAACCAAGGAATATACTTAGCACAGTAGAATTGAAGTATTGAATTACTGCACATGAGACTTACCAAAGGAGCCAGGAGAAATCGAGCCCCTTGAAGTGCACATTTTAATTGGCTGCAATTTTAGAATTGAGGTCAATAATGCTTCAGTGAAAACTCCAGAAATAAATTGTCAGAGGGCAACTCAGAGATACCAATTTAGTTATATGCATGCTAGTAATTTCGTCATATATAGGAGGAGGGACATTAGGCTGCTGTCAGCCAACAAAGGCAAAAGCAGATAAATAAGGAAAAGAGGGGAAAGGGTCTGGGAAGGGTGAGTTTTGTTTTTATGCATTTGCAGCTAGCAGAGAGGCCAGCTGCAGCAGAACGATCTTGAGCAGGCTGGTGAGGGTCATCAGAGGAAGCCATTTCAGTTCTCATGGATTCTTCAGGAACGCTTGAGAGGGTTTAGCTGGGGCACACAGAAGATTAGTGGAGATACAGTTGGATTTCTGCCTTCAGTGGTTGGAACATGAGAGCTGATTTTTTTTTTTTCTTTTCCTACTAAGTTCTATTTACTCAGTGAAACATATAGATAGACTTGTCATCTGAAGTTTGGGTTATGAGATGAATGCCATAGAGGAATATCAGAAGAAATTTGATTAGAAAAGGGAGGGTATGAAATATTCATCTTACAAAATTGAAAAGCATGATCACTACAGAAATATAGCAGGGTTGGGGTGCCTGAGTGGCTCAGTCGGTTAAGCATCCGACTTCGGCTCAGGTCATGATCTCATAGTTCATGGGTTTGAGTCCTGCATCAAGGCTCTGTGCTGAATGCTTGCTCAGAGCCAGGAGCCTGATTTGGATTCTGTGTCTCCTTCTCTCTCTGCCCCTCCCCCTCTCAGGCTCTGTTTTACTCTGTCTCTCAAAAATAAATAAATGTAAAAAAAATTAAGAAATATGGCAGGATTGAACAGAATTTCCAAATGAGGTATTTTTTTTATTCTGGTAAAATTTTGTTTTCTTTATCCTTAATTTTACTGTGAAATCTACATTCTCCCCAGATAAGTTAATTTCAGCTATAATAAAAATCCCACCTCTATATGTGCAAGACAAATTTCACCTTTCACAGTGTTTTAATTCATGTGGTAAGAATCTCCTCTTAGCAGCATCCCCTTTATCTCCTGCAACCTTCTCTGTATAGTCATCACTCTAATTCTCCTTTTTTAAAGTTAATGTTTTTATTCATTTTTGAGAGAGAGACAGAGCATGAGCAGAGGAGGGGCAGAGAGAGAGGGAGACACAGAATGGGAAGCAGGCTCCAGGCTCTGAGCTGTCAGCACAGAGCCTGACGTGGGGCTGAACCTGTGAACTACAAGGTCGTGACTTGAGCTAAAATCTGATACTCAACCAACTGAGCCACCAGGGACCCCTCTAATTCTCCTTTTTATTTTTCCTTATTTTTTTATTATTATTTTTTAATAGTTTATTGTCAAGTTGGTTTCCATATAACACCCAGTATGGAATCTTTGGCCGTGATGGATCAACTCTTTCCCATTACCCTTTTACTGACTCTTTTCAATAAACCTTATTTATCATGATTGTTTTTAAGTAGAATTATATTTCATAAGTGTTATAGATAATTGGTAAACACTTAACATTCAAATAGGACTAAAATATATGCAACAAATTTAAGGTTCCTGCCCATCTTTGTGCTTCAGTTCTGTCCACTGGTTTTAGTTTCTTACTATCTTTCCCCAAACAAGCTGGCAGCAAATACGTACTTGGGCGTGTGTGTGTGTGTGTGTGTGTGTGTGTGTGTGTGTGTACAAATAGTCCTTTTTACATAACAAATTATAGCATACTATATATAATGTTTGACATCTTGCATTTTTGATTTAAACATATATATAAACCCTCATCGTAACATGATGAGTAGAATACAAATAAAGGCAAATAAAAGTCAGTGTTGCCTGATTAGGGGGTTAATGAAATGACTGGGGTGACACTATCCAGATTGGTCTTTAGGGAGTAAGGGCCTAATGTTTCCTGGCCTCAGTTGAGGTTTGCCCCTGCCCGGGTGGCAATTTTCTATTTCCACTTAAATGTCAAAGGAAGACTCTAGGCCCCATGGCTGGCTAAACTGTTCACTAAATCTGTTTGGCTCCTATTTTGTCAACCTGGTCCAGAGGGCTTTGACCATGAATACACAGGGGCCACAGACACCTACTTTCCAAACCAGGGGTGCCTGGCATCCCTGCAGCAGGCACTACTCTCTTCTCCCATCTTCCTCCCCAAGATGAGAAATCGGGCCACCCATTTTGTCCTGGCTGGAAGCCAGTAGCTAACAGCCAATCAAATTATATCCAAATTATGTTTTCCTAGGGCTGTTTATTATTGTTGCAATTTCTAGTTTACCAAGGTTATTATTTCATATCAGTAAGTATAGATACGCCTCATTCTTTTAATGGCCATATAGTTCTCTATTATATAGAGGTAGAATGGGCAGTCAGCCAGATAGATTTGTTTTACTTTCCGGACAACATCTCTGAGGCCGATCAATAATGTAGATGCTTTTTAATAGTGCCAACTTCTTCAGGGCAGGTTGAAGCTTTTAATATGCCATGTGCACTGTTGCTGGAAATTTATGGAGTGAGTTCTCTAGTATGTAATTTAGGGCATCTATAGTCTGCATTTTGTCAATATTCACAATTATTTCCCTCTGTCTTCCTGTTCCTATCTAGACTGGTTTTTCTCTAGTCTTACTATACACCTGCCATCTTTATACATCTCTCCACCACCGTTTTGAATTGGATTCATTCTTTCCGCACCCCATTTCTCTTCATTTTCTGATTTGGTAAACGCAATCCCCAGGATCTTCCTAAGGAAATATTCGTGGGAAGATAATTGCATAAATACCTAAATGTCTAAAAATATATTTATAGTGTCCTCCTATTAGTCGGATGAGGTATAGGATTCTAGATTGAAAGTAGCTTTTCCCCCCAAATGTTTAAAACACAGACCCACTCTTTGTTATCCAGGATGGTCAATTGACATGTTTATTTCATATTTTTCATATTTTTCCTTATCTTTCTAATTCCACTTTTATTTTTACCAAAGCACTACCTGTGCGTAATAAAACATATAATTTTATAAGTCTCATAACAAAAAAAAAGCATTCTGTTATGCCATTCCTGCCCCACCTACCCAATTCCTATTCTCCACAGTCAGCTACTTTCAGTTCTTTTAGTTGTTTCTTCTGGTATTTATAGAAACTTCCCTACACTGAGTGGTCTCAGGCTTCATTTGTGTCCATAAGGAGGAGGAAAGGAGAATGGCTGTAGTCACTAGAAGCCCACCAGGCATTGTCAAGGGAGTGAACCTCAATGACTTCTAATTAAAGAACCAGCTTCTACGTAGATATTAGTTGGTAGGGAAATAGAAGAGGGAAAGTAACACAAATATGTCCACACTGGTTTATTTAAACACACAAGGAACTGAGCTAAAGAAACAACAGACTGGAGCATGCTAGAAATAATCCAATTTGCATACTTATAGCTCCTTCTTTATTAAAAACAACAGTAGCAATAACAAAAAGCTCTCCTTTTCCCCATTATTCTTTATATCAACTCCTCTTTAATTTTCACTATTGCCCCAACCTCATGGACCTGCCCCGTTTCATGACTAAATTAGGTTCATTAATTCTCCTTGTATCACCATATCATTATTTCATAGGATTTTTGGTGTGTGTGTGTGTGTGTGTGTGCGCGCTAACTGGTTTTCTTCTAAGCCTGTGCAAGCTAAACTGTACCTCTATAATCCAAATTATGCAAAGAAGTGAATATGTATCTTCTGTGATGTCCTGTAGACACTGGTTGGTTTTAAATTGTCAGATTTTTTTTTTCACTGCTTTTGCTTTTGGTGTTTGTGTGCAAATATTTCCCTTCTCATTTGTTATGGTCAATTTTTACCAATTTACCATTTTATTATCCAACACTTATAACTAATATTTCCTATATTTCAGGTTTACATATTATCTTTCTTTTTTAAGATATTTATTTATTTTTGAGAGAGAGAGTGCATTCATGCGAGCCAGGGAGGGGCAGAGAGAGAGGGAGACAGAGAATCCCAAGCAGGCTCTACACTGACCGTGAGGCATGAACTCACCAACAGTGAGATCATAACCTGAGCCAAAATCAGGAGTTGGATGTTCAACTGACTGAGCCATCCACATGCCCCGATATTTTCTCTTAATGCC